CCCCCCCCCGGCAGGAGGAAAGGTAAAGGGGGAGTGTCAGCTCACATTAATTCAAATTGTATTAGCAATTGTATACTTAGCAGCTTTCCCCTTGATAGAAAAGCTAATGATCAACTATTTTCATTGGTATGCTAGACATCCTGTTATATCACTAGTATGTGGTATATCCATATACCACATACTAATGATCATCTCTTCTTCACGCATAGAAATATTAAACTCCTTCACCGTAATGGTCTTAAGTATTTGGTTAAACAGATGTGTGCTTGCATTCATTCTAGTTTCATTCCAAAAGTGTAGGGTTTGGGGTTGACATAACTATACTGGGTCTGATTATCTTAAAGGGGCTGGTAAAAGTACCATTGTAAACTGTCAGAGAAAACACCATGACTTCATTACAGCAGTACTCAAAAGTTCATATTCAATGAAGATAAATATCTTAATTTTGTTGACAAAACCAGGAAACTGCTCTTACCCTTGGATGCACATTTCCTGCATTCAAATGTTAACAAAGAATAATATTTATGATAAGTACAATTTTTTCATGCTTTTTGCTAACCAGCACAATTTTTATTATCACTTCGTTTGTAACCATCAGCATTTCATTAAAACAACGGAAATGTCTTCACAGCATTCATTTCCTTACAAAGCGTAATTTTTGTTAAAGATAACCTTTTTACATTATTTGTAGCCAAGAAGATAAGAATGTATGTAGTGGATGGATATTTGAAATCTAATAAGAATTATTCAGGGGCATTTAGCTGACCAGTCACCTCCAGATAGTGGTGTGGCCAAGCAAATGTGGATTTATACATCCACTCCCCCATACACCATGGCATAGTGCTTAATTAGTTAACCACAGGGACAACTTTGGGGGCATGCGGTAGCATAGTTGGTTGAGAGGCTATGCTACAAGCCGGAAGGTCGCAGGTTCAAGTCCTGATGAGGTCATTGGATTTTTTCAATTGACCTAATCCTTCCAGCCACACTATGGCCCAGGGTCGACTCAGCCTCTAACAGAAATGAGTACCAGGAATTAATTAAATAATTTTCCTGGGGAGTAAAGTGCGGCTGGCGCTTAAGGCTGACAACCTTACTGCCATCTTTGAGCCGATTGTCTAGATAATGTGGGACCCTCGTCTCACAACCCTATGGGCCTTCACAGCCTGGTACAGGGATAGCTTTACTTTTTACTTTTCACAGGGACAACTTTACCTTTTTGCCTTAATAAGAATTATTCGGTTCTGGAAGCTTCATTAACTGGATATAGTTTAAATGTAAATATGACCCACAGTATTTTCATTTAGAATTATGGCTCAGCAATAGTCATTGTCAAGTTTCATACATCTCTCCGCAGTAAATAGTAACTGCAAGATCTTATATAGAAATATTTCAAAATGCACAATTTAGAAACGAATTTCCATTTAGAATTATGGCTGAGCAATAGTCATTGTCAAGTTTCATACATCTCTCCACAGTAAATAGTAACCGCAAGATCTTACATAGAAATATTTCAAAATGCACAGTTTAGAAACGCATTTATAATGTATAGGTAACAAATTATCCTGTTATTCACTCTCTCTGGAAACATCTTAAAGACTTTTGTGCAGTTAAGATTTGCCTTTATATAATCATCCAGTGTTTCATTTTAAAATCCTTTTCATTTTTCTTTCACATCCTAAAATCTGTTTAAGATGGATGGACCAACATGCTCTTCAAGAGGTAGGGATAGACCAGGCATGGAGTAATCTGCGAAGATGATGATGCTAAAATCTGTTTTTAAATGAAATTTGATGATTTTACCAATTCAAGCTGAGAACATCCACTCATGATTCAAATTACTGTATGTGACAAGGATCATAAAATATGACATATACTTTCCATCTCAATGTGTGTTATGTTCAAAAACTGGGTTAAAATTTAATAGCCTATATCTATAAGGATCTGAATATTTAAAGACCATTGTTCTATATCACTTTTTGTATTTTTTTTAACAGAACTAAACTTCTCCAGCAATATTATGTTCTATGTCTATATATTTACATTATAACAAAAAAAAAACATAATAAATGTAAGTGATAAAATAACAACATACTGTTCTATAACTTGCTGACATCTACGTGGTCCAACAGTCCACTGACATGACAACTTAATATATAATAAAGACTACAGGCATTAACTTTCCAAATATAATCCTTAATTACAGATCAGATCTGCTTAATTAGTGTACAAAGTCACAGGGAAAATTAACGACAGTTGACAGACCTGCAAGGAAAATACTAGCATCAGTACGTGCATATCACATACAATGACTCAGATTTTCATACAAAAATCTAGCACACTTTACAGGTAAAACAGGAAACAAAGTAAATCTTTACCCTATTCAACAAAACCATGTCAAATGCTATGGTTATGATGTCCAATGAGATGTATGAGAGTGAATATATATATATATACTGAAGATAGACATAAATGTCTATACTGCTTGGGACTTCAGAAGAATGCACATAAATAAGAAGGGATGACCATAATGGTCATGTATTTCTCTCACTTCCATCCAGTGCCAGGGTTTAGGATGTGTATAACAGTATCTTCTCAGGGGGATGAGAATGAGGATCAGGAGGATAAGCAGCAGCAACAGCAGTTGTTAGATATGACATGAAATTTCATCTGTACCAAAGTCCGTTCTGTGGTAATTATACAGATAACACTGCATGTGTACCTCAACACAAATTAAATAGGTTCTAAAATAAATTTCTAAACCACAGGACATGTGTTAACTTTCTGCCCAAATCCTACAGGGTGAGTCACAAAGTTTTACCACCACTTAGGTAGGGCATTCCTGACGTAATTGGGAACAAAAAATATTAATATACTAATGGTATCCAACTCATAATTAAAGAGATACAGTAATTTGAAAACTGGCGAAAAATCTTTTCTTCTTCTAATTTCAGTCAAAACAAATTAGAAATACAATACAAACACTTTTTAAATCGTTAATGTTTTATGAAAGTAGCATTCTAAAACCAAATTTTTGTTTTCCCCAATTTCTTAATTTTGCTTTGTGAAACATTTTTCATCGATTTTATGTTACAAAATTACATTATTTTCAGCATCCCATTCTGTAAACATACCAATGGTTGCATATCACACCCTTCTATCAATCTGTTTCCTTTAAACTGTACTGCTTCAGACGACGACTGGATTTACATAAGATTTTCAAAAATTTCTCCCTGCATGTCAACACAACGCGTCACATGCGTATGAACCGTGCTCGTAGCATTTCGCAGTTCCACGTGGTTTTTCCTTATTGTCATCGCCGCGTCCAGCATACGTTCAAGCAACGCTTCATGCGTTTGTAACTTTACCTGGTACACAATGTCCTTCATCCAGCCCCAAATGCAATAAAATGAATGGCCCGATTAGCTGATCACACAGAACACCATACCAGACATTGACACTGAATTGGTGTTGAAAATTCGATTCTATCGTGGCACGGGGATTATCGTCTGCCCAAACATTAAGTTGTGACTGTTGTTGACCCCGTCACGTGTAAATTGTGCATCACAGAACATTATCAAGCGGTACAACTGCCGATTTCCATTTAACCAATTGCAGAACTGCAGATGAAGAGCACGGTCTCCTGGCTGTAGGTGTTGTATTTGTCGTAAATGATAAGGATGCAGCCCGTTCTCACGAAGAGTCCTCCATGCCATGGACTGAGAAAAACCAAACCGCCGAGCTAGATGTCTTGTACTGGCATGAGGAATCCACTCTACAGCATCGAGAATGGTTTCTTCTTCGCACAATTCATGTTGAGGATTTCGTTCGTATTGTATACGAACGCTGGAGAGGGAACCAGTTTGTCTTAATGTGCTGAATGTACTGCTAATGCATTTAGGATTCGGAATCCTGTGAATAGGATAACACCGGTGATATTCGGCAGCAGCGGCTCTCGCATTTCCATCACATACACCCAAAACAAACACCATATCGGCGTATTCCTCAGTGGAAAATGTGTACAGCATCTTAACTTCACAAAGTCACCAACCCAACGTCCTCTTCACTACTGGATCGCGCAACATTCCAGCCCGTTCCAGCCGGTCAGCTTATCTGCTGACACAGCTGACTGGAACACAAGGTCGCCCAGGGGGGAAGCATAGTGCTGCATTCACACTGATGCGTTTCGAAAATCTATTGTTACTCCATAACTACTGAAAATCGACCAAAAGTTTATAAGGAAATTTTGCAGGAAATAACCCCAGGAATATGTACCATAAGCCAGGGTAAAACTTCTTGAATCACCTGTATGTGTATTTCAATTACAAAGAAAGATGCAAAGCTTAAAACATAGATATATTTTTAAAACAACATAACTAAAATTAACTTTCGGAAACTCGCCAATATCATGGTAATAATTATGAAAATTACCGTCTACTTTAGGGGTGATATTGTGCAGTCTGGAAAACATTACAGAACATTGGTAAACATCCACCAGACCACATGGCATTACATCTCAGAAAAGAGTAATATTCAGCTATGAGAGACGCCTAAATAGGACCTTCACAATGCTTAACACTTTGCGGACCGGCAATTTAAATATTTAAATCACCCTGCGGACCAGCATTTTTATACCTACTACCCTAACTTGTGCACTGTTCACTTTAAAAATTAATATAAAATCTCCTAATTAATTTTATGAACTAAAATTTTTTAGAACACTTACCAATGCTTCTAGAAGTGCTTGAGGGTGTGATATTTCTCGAAACATTCCCCTCTGTGAAGTGGCATTACACAAAACTTGCAAATGTAGGCAGTCCTACTCCTTTTCTTGTGAATTGCACAAACTCGGCATTGCCTAGAAGGCTGCTTCCCCTTGAAATGTTCACTCTTCACAATTTTCGTGAGGATATGTTTCTACATATCACCCGAGAGTCACCCGGGGG